ACTTGTGACTGGACTTGTGAAGGGTCTTGTGACTGGCCTTGTAAAGGGACTTGTCACTGGACTTGTGAAGGGTCTTGTGATGGACTCGAATCTCACACTGGCCAAGCCTGAGGATGTGTTCCCTACCAATTTCAGGATGAATTTGCCTTGTGACTTACATTTTTTTGTGGTTCCATCCCAGGTCTTGACCCTTGCCAGCAATGAACGTATTCCCCTAACTCCATCCATGCGTCTGCTGTTCGAGATCAGCCACCTGCGGACGGCCACGCCGGCCACCGTGTCCAGGGCTGGTATCCTGTACATCAACCCGTCTGATCTGGGCTGGAACCCGTAAGTATCATTATTAACATTACTTAATTTCTGGTAGTGACACCAAGGATTCCTCAACTGAGCACCCTAGGCACTGTATCTCACTAGCCTGAAGAAACCTGTAGAGAGGAGACAATGAGAAGCAGTTACAGATTCAGAGGTGGGAGGAAAACCCCAGAGGAATACTCTGGGTAAAACCCACGGAATCAGGTAGGGACTGAAAACCCAATCCACGCATCGACCAAGCTGGAAATCAAACCCTGGACCCTCAAAGCCGAGGAAAGAACCACAATGTCAACCTGACTTCCCTGAACCCGACCCCATTGCCGCGTCGTGCAGACGTCATGTCTCCAATGCAAGGTCTTGAGGGTAATGTGAAATACAGGTTCTTGAGAAAATTCCAGCTTGTTCTGAAAAGTTCAGTGTTCAGTGTCCTTGTTGAAATTTAATGCAGGTTGCAGAAACGAAAGACGAGGGTACCACGACGTCAGATCCTTGTTCCAAATCACTCTTCTAAGACAGTCGTTTCATTTTTGACTCCCCTGTGTGCAGGGTTGTGACCAGTTGGATCGAAACCAGAGAGGTGCAGTCGGAGCGTGCCAACCTGACCATCCTCTTTGACAAGTACCTGCCGCCCGTGCTGGACACGCTCAGAATCCGATTCAAGAAGATCATTCCTATTCCCGGTAAGTTCCGACACACACGCGCGCATACTCCCCCTTGCCTGGATGCCCAGAGAGGCAACAGATTGGACGCTTATGCATGAACAGTAGAGGGCGCTATACGCGCTCTTTTTCCTGTCGATGTGTTATTGTATTGAAGAGAGAGTGGATTGTAAATACCCTTTGGGTTCCACACTGTTGATCAACCTGCTTCCATTTTGGTGAACAGGTTACTAGTAATGAAATTAAACTGTCTAATATTTGCATCCTGATTTTTGCAAAGCAAAATTGCCTACTACAAACTTGGGCCCTCCCCATAATAATTGAATTCAGCTTGTTTCATAATTTTTATGTACTGTAACGTTGATGAATAACCTTCAGACCTAGGCCCAATTTCTCGGTGCTGCTTACTGCAGAATTCCACGCTTACGATCTCCATTCTGCACTAACCGTGCTAGCAGAAAAAATTCTGTGCTAACCCTCTAAGCACGGAATCCTTAGTTAAAGGATGTACGCATGCACACGAGCCAAAATTCCTTGCTAACCCATGAAATACGTTGGCTGTCGGCGCAGAATTTTCTGCCATGGTAAGCGCCGATTTTTCGCTTGTGGTAAGCAGCGCCGTGAAATTGGGCTCTAGTCAGTTGATGGTTAACTTCGGTTAGTTGTATCTGGCTTACAACTGGCCCTGTGTAGTACATGTAGATTGGCTCGGTGTTGTACAATTCTGTGCTGTATTGTTCCAACACTGTTCATGGTATCCGCTGTGGTTCATCTCTTGGCAGAGCAAAGCATGGTACAGATGCTGTGCTACCTGCTGGAGGTGCTCCTGACGCCGGAGAACACGCCCCCCGACTGCCCCAAGGAGCTGTACGAGCTGTACTTTGTCTTTGCCAGCATCTGGGCCTTTGGAGGAGCCATGTTTCAAGATCAGGTCGGTCTTACCGTTCTCACCAACATCGATCCCCCTCTCCCCCATCCTGACCTGACCTTTCTTCAAAATGATTTTAAAATCTACTTAACTGATCTTAAGATCTACTGTTAATAATGATAAATTACAAACTATTTGTAATGAGAGCTTCAGGAGTCCAAGCTAATCCTCACACAATCCTTATATACCATTGGAGGATGACCAGAGCACGAGAGTCGAAATGTCAAGTACACACTCTGCCAGTCCTTAACAGAACAGTACCTCTTCCAAACAGAGATCTGTCCCCCAGCCCTCTCTTCAGTCTACCTCCACTATGCAAAACGTCAAGTCTCATCTCTTTTGTAATGATTGATTCGTTTTCCTGGCACGTAGTTGGTGGATTACCGTGTGGAGTTCAGTAAGTGGTGGGTGACTGAGTTTAAGACCATCAAGTTCCCCGGCCAAGGGACCGTCTTCGATTACTACATCGACCCCACCTCCAAGAAGTTTACCCCTTGGACCGAGATGGTGCCCAAGTTTGAGCTGGACTCCGAGATCCCCCTGCAGGTGAGCCACAGAGATAGTACCTCATTTAAAGTTCATTGAAGTTGGGTGGGCGGAGCATTCATCAGGGTGATGGGGGGGTTGCCATAACAGTCACGTCGTCGTAGAGATTGTGAGGGTACATGTATTGCAGCACTAGTTTGAAATAAGTTCCGTCTATTAAATTTACATGCTTAGCTTTGGTAATGATCAGCTTGGTTGACCACTTGGGCCTTAGTTTCAAAGAGACAGTGGTTCATATCCCGCCGAAGTCGGCAGCATTTTATGATTTTAGGTCGTAGATTTCTTGCATCTGTTGGTCTCATAGTAACTATGGGACTTCATTCATTGCAGCCGTATTGTCATTTCAGTCCAAGATCAGATGTGAGTTTCTTTCTGAAGGTGACACAGGTTCAAATTCTAGTATAGAAATGGGATGACTTGTGATTTTTGCTTTCAGACAATTTTTTTACTCATAAATCTGACTAGATTGTAAAATTAAATAGAACAAAGCACCCTCAATAGCAAGTGAATGAGGTTGGACAAATTACGAAACTTCTTGGTTTATGTGTTCTCTTTTTTTTTTTATTTGCAGGCTGTGTTGGTCCATACTGCAGAGACCACCCGCGTCCGTTACTTTATGGACCTGCTCATGGCCAACGGTCGCCCTGTCATGCTCGTAAGCAACGCCGGTCTTGGCAAGAGCGTACTGGTCGGAGACAAACTGAACGCCTTGTCGGATGACTTCATGGTGGCCAATGTGCCCTTTAACTACTACACTACGTCCGAGATGTTGCAAGGTTAGAGCAGAAATAGGAAGAAATTTTTTTCCAGGACTGTTCAGGGATGGGCCCTGATCAGTTTGTGGCAAGGGTTGGAGAGATGAGTAGAACGGACAGCAAGGGTCCTGCCATATGGCCAGCCTCACCAAAAGAACACCCAATTTGTTGAACTCTCTGACGCCCTAATCCTCTCTCCTACGCAGGCGTCCTGGAGAAGCCCTTGGAGAAGAAGGCCGGCCGCAACTTCGGGCCCCCGGGCACCAAGAAGCTGGTCTACTTCATCGACGACATGAATATGCCAGAGGTGGACACGTACGGCACCGTGCAACCCCACACGTTGATCCGCCAGCACATGGACTACAAATGCTGGTATGATCGGACTAAACTCTCGCTCAAGGAGATCCACAACTGCCAGTACGTGTCCTGCATGAACCCAACCGCCGGCAGCTTCACCATCAACTCCCGTCTCCAGGTAAGGAGACCCCAACAGAGAGGTTGTTATTGGTACTCGCACCTCCCGGGCCACGTTTGTCAAGCTTGTAGGCTTGGAAAGTTGGTTAAATGCCGAAAATCTTTATCTTTCATAGCCAGAAGAGGTTAGCAAAAAAAAAGGTCACACAGTTTTTGTAATTTGCAACAGGTTCCTGAAAGACACTTCTTCCATTGCGCATAAATTGACAAGCATTATTTTCTTCTTCTTAGCTCTGTCTAATACGGGCATTTTATAATAGTGCACGCCCAAGAGCTTACTACGTGTTGGCCATTTACAACATACGAAATCTGTCTACCATTTCCAAATGTGCATTGGGTCAACTGATTTCACGCACTGTGATTGGCCACCGTGCTGCAAACTCTTGGAGGCGCACTATCGTGAAACGCCCGTGTTCAGTGCATAGCTCACCACATGAGACTTCAAGACCTCTTTTCACTAAGATTTTTGCATCAGAAGGATCATTCTGAGGTCTTCATTGCAATATTGAGAAATCTCACTCAGTGTAACTGTAGTCGAAACGAACAGACGCTGTGTGGTTTTGTCCTGACAATTTCCTTCCACCTCCGTTGTTACTCAGCGCCACTTCTGCGTCTTTGCCCTGAGCTTCCCCGGTGCCGACGCCCTGCAGCACATCTATAGCAGCATCCTGACCCAGCACTTGGCCATGATCAGCGCCCCCCAGGCCATTCAGAAGATGGCTGGCACGGTGGTCAACGCCGCCCTGGAGCTGCACAAGAAGGTCGCCCAGACCTTCCTGCCTACGGCCATCAAGTTCCACTACATCTTCAACCTTAGGGATCTGTCCAACATCTTTCAGGTGATTAATCCTCAATAAATTTGCGTAGTGTATGAGTTCAGGAATTTTTTGTGAACATGGAATAGAACACTCTAGTCACTGTGGAATAGAACTTTTCAGTTTGCAGTGCAGCCATGCCATGCATTTGGAGGAATAATGTGGTCGTCTGTAATGGACAATCGACCAAGAATTCATTCCAGCTTTGGATCATGAAACATGCCTGAATGATGAAATGAAGGAGATTGTTGCTTGCCCTCGTATGTACAATTTGTAAACTCATTCCGTTTGGTTATTGGCATTGTGGTCTGTTGTTGCTTGTTGAGTCACATTTAAATTTGTTTGTTTCTAAACAGGGTCTGCTTTACTCCACCCCCGATTGCCTGAAAACCCCACTGGATTTTGTACGTCTGTGGCAACACGAGGCCACCAGGGTGTACGGTGACAAGATGGTGGACGACAAAGATATTGAGACCTTCGAGAAGACGGTGCAAGACTATGGCAAGAAGTACTTTGAGGTACGTCCCAGGGCTCTGGACTATCTCAACCAAATTACTCTTGCTGATCCTGGCAGTAACATTTACCATTTAAATCCCAGCATTGTTTGTTCAACTGAAAACAAGAGGGTTAGGTAAATGGGGAATGTTAACTTTCAATGTGAATTCTGAATTGAAAATGGCACCTATATTTTTGTGCGTAGCATGGGTGTGTTTTTTAACAAAGTATGGAGACGGCACATTCCATAGTTAAAGGGTTACGTAATCTCATAACAGTAATTTAAGGCTTTTAAAATAAATCCTCTGCTTATGTTTACGGGAGCACTTTATGTCATGACATTTTGCTTCCTTGAATCCTGCAGTCTTGCTCCATACTGGAGCAAAAGCAAGGCTGCACTTGCAAAACTTCGATGCAACATTCAAAGTAACTAGAGCTTGCAAGTGCAGCCTCTCTTTCAACTCAACCTTACAAAGGACGTTCAATAACAGTTAGCTCAGAGATTTCAGCAATGAACTTGATTAAATGTATGTTCAAGTTGCCGAAGGTTGCAAGTGTAGCCTCTCTCTGGACCCAGTGCAGTCTCTCTTTCAAAGTACATCTCAGTCAATATTACATTACTTGATGGAACTACACTTTAGTACTCACATGACCTTCCCTCAATGTTCAGGATGTGGATGAGAAAGCCCTGACTGCCAAGCCCAACATCTTCTGCCACTTTGCCAGCGGCATAGGAGACCCCAAATACCTGCCTATTCCAGACTGGCCAGACCTCAGCAAGCTCCTGGTGGAGGCGTTGGACAGCTACAACGAGATCAACGCCGTCATGAACCTGGTGCTGTTCGAAGATGCCATGCAGCACGTGTACGTAAATAATTCTTTTTTTGCTTGGCGTGTCCCAGACCCTTCAGAATCCACAAAGGGATCTTGTAGGATTTTGTAGGATTGAGGAGCACTCTCCACTCTTGCTATTCCTTTACATGGGCGTTGAAGCCCCTTTGAAAGTTGGGATTCAAAAGAGTCCTCAGCAAACGTTGATCAGCATTCACATGGATTTTGCCATTGTAAAATCTTCATTATGCATGTTGCAGAAATCACATACAAAGGCCCTTGTAGAAATTAATTTTTATCTTTGCATTTAAGTGATGTGAGATTCCGATTTTTGCACTCCTAGAGAAGTTTTCCTTTCTGAACCAACCAGTTGTTGACCTGGAATAGATCTGTGAAGCCCATCGATCTTTTTATCCTTGAAATGATCTAACGTTACGCTCACTTTCTCACAACCCACAGCTGTCGCATCAACCGCATCCTGGAGTCACCCCGTGGCAACGCGCTCCTGGTGGGCGTCGGAGGCAGCGGCAAGCAGAGTCTGGCCCGTCTGGCGGCCTACATCAGCAGCTTGGAGGTCTTCCAGATCACCCTCCGGAAGGGCTACGGCATCCCTGATCTCAAGGTACGCACCTCAAATCCAGTCCCGCGTGGTGTGATGATATTGAAGTGAGTTTTCCAGTTTCGTTGGCAGAGAGACGACTTTGATTACAGTGCAGTCTTCTCTTGGTGCAATTCCGCTTGGTGAAATATCTCATAGTCAGTGGTGTAACTATGGGGGGGACGTGCCCCCCCCCATTTGAAATCCATGAACAACCTCTGCTGCAGTTCATTGTCTTTTGCTGCCCCCTTGAAAAAACATGTGCACCCCTGGGTACCCCCTGGACATAGTAGCCCTAGTTAGGGAACGTTTCATAATTACAGAAGGCGGTATTTACTGCGATACTGCTGTATTTTTGCGGTACCAGCATTAAGCCCTTTTGGGTAACTAGTGCGGTGCCGCTAAAAAAACATCAGCGGTACCGCAGTAAATACCGCCTTCAACAATTATGAAACACTCTCCCTTAGGTCACTGCTCGTGGTATTTGCTGCTGTCTGTGTAGACTAATTCATCCATCAGAATTAACATCTTCATTCAATACAGTGTTATGATTTGCCAAAATATGCACGCCTCTAGTTTAAGAGTGCGCATGAACATGTAGTGCCCCTGCGAGTACAGTTTCCATGATCTCTTGGCTGGCCAGCTGGGGTTTTGACGCTCGCGACGTTGTTTAATCCACAGCTTGATCTGGCCTCGACCTGTCTCAAGGCCGGCCTGAAGAACATTGGCACCGTCTTCCTGATGACAGACGCTCAGGTAGCCGACGAGAAATTCCTGGTCCTCATCAACGACCTGCTGGCCTCGGGTGAGATCCCCGGCCTACTGGCTGACGACGAGTTGGAGAACGTCATCGCCGGGGTCCGCAACGAGGTCAAAGGTCAGGGCCTACAAGACACCAGGGATAACTGCTGGAAGTTCTACATTGACAGGCTGCGTCGCCAGCTGAAGGTGGGTACCAGGAGTTGACAGTGAACAGCGTCATACTTAAAACCCCTTAAGACAATCCAAGACTCATCCCAGACTGACACAAGACCTTAGTCTGAATTCAAGTCACAATCTGTTCAAATAAACTGCATTGCAAGTATATCTATATCATTATTCACCTTCTTACTTGTAACTAGTCTTGTGTCTGGTTTTGCGGTGGTCTTCGCAACACATCTCGAAGAGTGAATGTTATGTTTATTACATTACTGTGTTCAGCAACTTTGTTTTGAAGTTTAGGTTTTCACCAATCAGCCAGACATTATAACGTCTTCCACATTGCAAGATGACAAACCAATCAGAAAAGGTTTAATAATTTAGAGGGTGCGTCAGATGATAGCAGGGTGCCCGTTTTGAGGATTGTTATAATCATCTTAGTATAGAGTGGAAGCTTTTTAATTTTACCCCTAGGTATGTGTTTTTTTACGCCCTTGGTGAAGTCACGGTTCCCAGCCACGCTTGAAAGCAGGGAAAAGCTGGAAAATGAAGTTTCCTTTTTTTCCACTTGGAAAGAGTCAAGGAATTTGAGAAAAATAGGTCAAATTTGGAAATAGTAGGAAATTTTGATTGGTCCCAAAGAGAAAGTGGTCAGTCTGAGATCTCTTGTCAGATATCTGAGC